GTGTGCTGCCTTCTAACAGAATTGTTGTTTGCTGCTGGTGCAGGCCTTTTCTTAGCTGTCAAATGCTGTTGTTGGGCAAGAATATTGAGGGGACAAATCTTGTCTCTAAACTGAATATGAAAAATTTGAGTTTTACATGTCTTGTTTTATGGTGCTGTGCAATGGCACGGCACACCATCATGTATTATAGCTTCTTGTCTGCACAAGCAGTACGTTTGGAGTTCTCAAACTTCCTTTGGGCCTTAACGGGATGGAAAAGTGTACTGCTTTATCAATTTTCGACTTGCAAGAAAAGACGTAACAGGGGGCACTGAGGGAGAAAGCAAAGTAATTTTAAATGGAAAATGAAGTTATGGCATACAGGCATTACCGATTAAGTAGTAGAAGATATTGCTCTGCTAGTGTGAGCCATTGTTTGGATATATTTTGCACTTGGATGGTCACTTGGTCAACAAAGAAAGGATTTTGAATGGGAGACCATCAAATACCAGTTATCTTTTATTTTGGATATCTTCTAGACAATGGAATTAATAATGATGTAACTCTTATTGCTAAACTTAGTAGTTGGGGTTTTTTGTTTGGTTTTTTTGTTTTGGTTTAGGTTTTGGTTTCAGCTTTATAACATGTGGGAACCTAGTTTATAATAAGGTTAGTTGAACTTGATTTGGTTGTTGCTGCCGGATAGTTGCTTGGAACAACTCTGTCAGGTTTCAGGGTTCATGTCAATGTTTTCATTTGTTTGTTGTTTGGCTAAAAGGGGTAGATTACTTCAGCACCAGAGAGGCAAATAAACAATCTAAAGACTGCAAAAAATATAAGTAGCTATATGTTAGTGGAAACTACAGAAAATACTGATGGAATGCATGTATCAGATTTATTGTTCTAAAATTGTAGAGCCTTTCTTAAAGCTAAGCTCATTATGAGAAACTTATTGAAGAAAAGTTATCATAAAACTGACAACTTACTAGAAAATTTTTTTTTTTTTAAAGAAGTAGTTTTATTTAATGGTCAGTATGTCTGCCCTGGTTATTGTGCATGGTTAAAAAAATAGAAGCAAAAAAGAAACACTTGTTTTCCCACTATATGTTTCAACTGAATTGTCTCTTCTGCTGCCTGCTTTATCTTCTTTTATAGGTAATTTTTAACTATGCCAGCATAATTTATGTCATCTTAAAGCATAGATGTGCAGGTTTAAAAAGCTGCAAATATGCTAAGGTCATTAAAATTGGGATTGAATGAAAACATCAGATTTTTTTAAACTCCTGAAATAGAAGCAGTTGACCGCAAGTTAAAGGACTTGTTCAGCTATATTGTGTTTATTATAGTTTAAATAACCCAAAATGCAAAAATATGAAGTGTTCCTCCCCCCGCTCTGCTCTTCCCTGGGGGAAAGGTGACAAAATGGGAATCTGTCTCAAGCTTTCAGGATTTTTTTATCAATGCCTTAATTCTCAGGCTGAATAGGACAGAAAGGAGAAGAGTTCGATTTTCTTGTTTGCAGGAACATAATCTCTAAGAAACAGGTGTTTCTTTTATTAAAACCAGAAAAAATGTGAAGGTTCACATTTGTGTAGTCCATAAGGATCAATGATTTTTCCACAGTTGTCAAACTTAATTGCACAACTGTATTGAGAACTCTGTTCCAAGCACATAAAGCTTTTCATTAGTCACTATAGTGACTTGTTTTATTTCCAAACCAAGCCTAAGCAACATGGGTGATAACTTAAGACTGAATTTTGGAAGCAAGTGTAGAGGAATGTTACTGTGAGGGAAGTTGCAAGGCAGTTATCCCAAGACCGTTAAGGGTTTCCTAACTTCATCTGAGTGCGCGGGTTGAGGAAGAAGAGGTTAGCAGCCAGAGCGTAATAGCCAGCAGGACTGTATTGGGTGCATGTGAGGGATACAGACGGCTTGGGTTTTGTAACGGGGAGGTGTTATTCCATGCCATGTAAGACTCCACTTCTGGTCAGTCCCACAAAATGGGAAGGATTGTGCCTTTTCTTTTTGGGCTTCTGCCTCTGAGCTGTTCATTTTCCAGCTTGTCAGCATTGACAGTTCTTGTATTTTAGCACTCTTTGGCTTAACCCTTGTTAAGTGCCTTTATTAACAGAAGACAGTAAAAGGGCAACTTTGTCATCTTTTGGATGGTCCAAAAGTCTGGACATAACCACATACGGATGGATTTTTTCCAGCACTGTTTTGCAGTTTCCTGTTTAGCATAAGGACTTTGAGAAAATACCACGGGACCTTGCCGTTCCCTGTATGTCAGGTTGTCTGCCGTTACCGCCATGTCAAGGCTGTGGGTCCAGCTTCCTTGGTTCTTCCGTTGCTTCTGAATGAAACAGCTCCCCTCTTCTCCTTCTGGCTCTTTATACCCTTCACTCTATACTTCATTTTAGGCCAGGACTTTTCTTTTCGAATAAGTTACCTCTGAGCAAGTATGCTTTTCCTTGTGTGTGAAAGCACTTCCCTAGAGCAGTTGTATACTGCTGGTTACTATATCCAAGCATGCACAGCACAACAGTTGTGAAGGGTGATAACTCGTTTAAAAAAGAAAATTAAAAAAAGAAATTCCACATAACAGCTGTGCAGGATGCCTTAAGCGTCTGTGGAAAATATCTCACATGAAACACACATCAATTTTCTTGAACTTCTTTGGAAAGCTCTTTTGAAAAGTAAGATTGATGCCCACTATCCTGCTAGAATTGGATAATCTGAAGATCCAAGACGGATAGGTTTCCTCTGAGGTCTGGTTAGCATACGCAAGAGTGTGTATGCGAGTGCATGTGTGCTTGTGTGTGTACAAAAAATGTACTTTTTAAACAAAGGAAGGGTATTACAAAAATGTGTACATCTGGTCGTCATGGCAGGAGGAAAAAATATTTGCAGAAGCTTAATCAAAACCTTTCTTATTCTATTTTAGGATTTCATTAACTATTCTTCGTATGTTACACCTAAATATTAGTATTTTGTGACCACCAGAGCACATGTTGTTCCCGTTGTAGTGATCCTGTCCGTTTCAGAGATCTGAACATTCCCTTTTTTCCTTCGTGTAGGAAATCAACTCAAAACTTAATTCAGTCTGCTGCTATGTTTGTTTATAATAATTCTTACCAGTGCCTGAAATGGTTGCTGCTTGTTGTTGAATGGGCATGTCATTCCCCTGTTAAGAGTAATCACATCCTTTAAAACATAGTGTCTCTAATGAGGAAACATTGTTATGGAAACAAGTTATGGAAATAGCACAAATAGGATATCATGTAACATTTTTCTTCTTGAAGGACTCAGACTGCTTGTGTCTTACAGTGAAACTGGAGAGCTTTTACACCAACCTGGTGTACGGGCCATTGAAAATGACCCCCTTTAAACTGTAAATGCTAGAGTGGTAACTTTCATTTCAAACAAATTTCTCTCTTGTGAACATTTGTTTTGCAACAAGGTGGCTTTTTAATGATACAGTAGAAAAAATGGGCAATGAGATGGTAGTATATAGGAAGAATTTAAATTTGGTGATGAGATACTGTGAGTAAAAACTGTTGGTAGCATGAAGTAGTAAGTACTGGGAGAACTAGTTGTATGCATCTGTGAGTCTAATTGGAACTGTAATAACCAGAGGCAAAAAAGTCTGTTCATGCTGCACAGTTATGGTTTTGGTAAATAAATACTGATGTGCATATAGTAGGATGGAAAATAATACTTTACGTGTTGTACTGTTTTGCTTGCACTGGTGCACTTTTATTTAGATACTGTGGCGCTAGTCACATTGCCTCTTTCTGGCTTGATTTTCCTGCTGTCTTGTGCAAAGCTACTAGAGCACAGAAAAAACTGCCCATCGAGAAGAAATTAAATATTTAAATAAAAGAGATTTAAAATATCCCATGTTTACAAAACACACAGTTAAGTCCTTGGTATTCATTACCATTCCTCAACTGCAGTGCTCCATGCAGCTATTTATATTACCCCAAGATCTGTAAAATGGGAGAATGAAACAAATAATTTTAGTTTTTCCAGAACTTGCATTTTCTGGAAGAATGGGATGGCAGTTCTGTGTTTTATTACATCAAAGAATTAGTGCATCTGTCACATTGTGCCGTTATTTAATGGTAAAGTCACGTCTGCTGTCATTAGTCAACTCCTTGATTAGTCTTTTGGATAGAGAGATTTTACTAGTGGGTGTAGTAGATGAAGTCTAGTTTATTGTTTAAACTTACAATTTTGGTTTCATCAGGTTAAAATACTTTCTATTGCAGTTAGAGAATTACACAGCTTCTGACGACTCCTCTGTAAAATTCAGTACCATAAAACTGTGAGCCAGTTTGTCTGATTTGAATACGTGTAGTTCCATTAAAGGGAAAGTTATCAGGAATATTATCTTTTACCAGTTTTGTTGTGTCTAAATCAAAACTTGTATGATTTTTAGGTGCAGATCTTTTGTCTTGATTTGCACCTAGGAAAGACTGTTTCTTATGAAACCAAACTTTTGTCTTTCAAGTTTAGCCTGTTGTGTGACCAGAAAATAGATTCCTTAAGTTTGGATCATCACATTCTCTGATTGCTTATGCTTATATGTTTATCTTGTTTATTTAAATTTTCTCAGATAGAGTTCTGCTTGTGTTTTTACATTAGAGTTACTGTAAGCAAATATGGGACGTAATGCAAAATAGTTTGTTTAATTAAAAAAAAAAAACCAACAGTAAAGTTGCCTAAACAAAATTGTAAAAACTGAATGCAAGAATATGATTAAGCTCTCCTGGGGACATCCATTCTATATTTCATGTGATTTAATAGTGATGATACTTCAAAATTGACCATTTTTGTTTACAGTGGGTTTTTCTGTTCAATATATGACTATTTTGGAATCACAACTAACAATGTTTTTTTCTCTTTTTTGCAGACTGGACTTTGACATTCTTTTCATGAAAGAGGTTTCCAAGTAGTTGTCTTATAATAACTTTGAGAAGAAGTTCTATGTAGCTCTTACTTTCAAGAGTGCTGCAAAAATGATTACTTCAGATTTGCCAGTACTACAGTGAGTATATGTTTCTCTATATATTTGAAATCTTCAGTGTTAAAAAGGTAGAAGTAAACAGAGAGGTGGTTGCAACGATAAAGTATAAGCTTGAGAGAAGTGCAGATTAGTGTGACTGTTCCAGGCCTTCTGTGTTGTCCTATGCTGAAAAACTGTGTAAAAAATGAAACACTTAAATCTAAAAGAGATTTCTTTATATGTATGGAGTTTTAACTTTGCAGTGAAAAGCAAAACAAAATCTTTGCTACTTTTATGCTTCCGAGTGTTGTGAGATTTCAGAAATGTGAATGGGTTCTAGTTATAATTGACCATATTTGTGTATTCCGGTTGCGTACTCTTTCTTACAACAAGCTGTATTTATTGTGCACAAAGCCTTTGGCCTCTGCAATTGAAGAGAGCAAGTGGCGTCAGCATGTTTTGATCTCATTGGGAAATATGAGTGGCTTATACAGATGGGAACATCACTGTACCTGGATAAAGTGAACTATTGGGAAGAATAGAGTGGAAGTCTATGAGAGGAGCTAGAGAATAAATCAAGTAGAATTAAGAAAGGAATTTTAGAAACAGGAACAAAATGGAGTTTTATTTGATGTGTTGGGTTGACCTTGGCTGGCTGCCAGGCACCCACCCAGCCGCTCTCTCAGTCCCTTCCTCAACAGGACAGGGGGAGAAAATAAGATGAAAAACCTCATGGGGCAAGATAAAGACAGGGAGATCACTTACCAATTATCCTCAAGGGCAAAACAGACTCGACTTGGGGAAAATTAATTTAATTTATTGCCAATTGAGTAAGATGTGGCTGATAGTGAGAAACAAAGACAAAAACTAAAACGTGTTCCCTCTCCCCCCTGCCCTTTTCCCCGGTTTAACTTCACCCCTTCATTCCTCACTCCTCTACTCACACCCGCAGCGTGAGGTCCGCAGTCTGTGCCGGGGCGCTGGCAGCACCTTCTCCTCCCTCCTGCTGCTCGCGGGGCTGGTCCCTCGCCCCTCACAGCATTCGCCCCTTTCTTCAGTAGCTTTCGCAGGGGCAGCGCTGGCTCCTCTGACCGGCCAGGCCCGGCTCTGCCCTGCCCCGGGGCCGTTGGAACCGGCCACAATGGCCGTGGTTCACAGTCTCCTCACAGAGCCCACCCTGCGGCCGCCCCGCTGCCACCACCTTGCCCTGTAGACCAAATGCATTCGGTAATTATCTGATATGAAGTTTTTTGCTTGGAATGAACATGCGGAAATGGGAATTATCACAGGGTGTAAAAGAGCCTCAGTTTATCAAGGCTGAGTGGTGTTCCAACACTAAGGTTTCAACTGCCTTTATTTAAGAAACTGAATGCTTGGACAGTTGTACAGTTATTTGTCTGACCTTAAAAATAAGATGCTCTGCATTGCGATTTTTTCCTTATGTTTTTAAAACCTCTTTCAAAAAATGCTAATTTTTGCTGTGGGTGAGCACATGGCTAAAGATGGGGATGACCCTGAGGGGTAGCACTGAGGGGGGAGCGTCAGCCCTGGGGGGTTCTGGTTAGCTTTGAGGGTAGTTGTGAAGAAAATTTTTCTCGATTCGTATTTTCGTGGATGTGCCACGTTCAAGAAGTGAGAGTGTGCTTGTGAGATGTGCCAGGGACAAAAAGCTGGGAGATTCTGTCACGGCAACGGTAGGAAAGGGATATTCCCGTTCCCAGTTCAAGAAGCTAGATGGCCGTAAGAAGTGAATGAAATAACGTAGAGTTTAAGGTTAAAAAATGCATATTAATAGATTTGGTAACTCTGCACACCAGCTGAAAAACATGAGGGAGATTAAAGATATTGGCATATTCTTTAATCAGAATATGGTTGTGAGCCACCAATTTTATGCAACATTAAAAAATGAAAGGAAACATGTATGTTGTTTTTTCCCGTAGAGCTGGGAATCATTTAATACCACTGTGCGAAGTGTTGGTGAGATGTCATTATCAGTAATGTATATAGTTTTAGTTGTTTGTAAACAAGACGAGATCTCTCTTTTTACAAAAAAATCAGCAGGATTTGCATGGAAAGGTTTTGAGACTCTCCTGAGGGCTCAGAACGTTAAGTCTAGTGTGGGTAAGGTATCAAAGAAAGCGATAACTGCTAATTCAGTAGGTCTCAACCAGACTTTCATCAGAAGGGGGTCTGGCTAAAGGTGAGAAAACCTGAAGCAATCTTTGGTTAGGGGTATTGGCTTCACACATTTAGATCTGGGAAGCCACGATCTGGTTCCACACAGAGAAAGCCAAGGTTTTCTTTTTAGCTCTTAAATAAGCAGCTTTGAAGGATTATTATAATCTACCACTCCTATGCCTCAATTCTACTTTTTCATAACGTTTTCTAATCTTTTCAGCTATGCCCTTTAAACAAAGGGTCCTAAAGTCAATTTGATATATTAATGTACTTTGCTTAGGACCATATCAAATATTCCTTCCCAAATTCTTCCCTGTTGAAGGAACATGAAAGGAGAAATCTGTAATCTTCCTGGATTCATAGAAGTGGCTTCAGAATGCAGTGAAGACAGGATTTCACTTATTGGTGTTTCAGATGTAGGGGAAAAAAAACTCTGGTGTATTTGACCTGGATGACTGACTGTTATGAGTCTTCTCTCAGTGGGATGACTCATATTTGCTGTGAGGCATGTTCCTCTTCAGATTTTGAAGATCAACCATGAGAGCTGATTCATCCATGATTCATGAGCCCGTGCATTTAGCCATTTTTCTTCATGAATGCTTTTTTTTCACAAGGCTGAGTCTGGTGGTAGCAATTACTGAATTTATCTCTGCCAGAACCTTAAGCCACCTCAGCAACACCGATAAAAGCTCATAGAAGCGTTTTTATTGACAAAAACTGATACGTGAACATAGGTTTTTGGTGTGGTGTGTTTTTAAGGGGGGGTGGTATAAGCTTTGTAGCTAGGGCTTTACGTAATAGTAGAAGGAAGGTAAGTTTGTTTTGATTTATTTTGCAGAGATGTGAAATTTACTGCATCTATGGAAATGTGTTCTTCAGAAGCAGGACATGGTAAAGGGCTGCCCAGTAATCTGTTAATTCTTCATTACCATATGGTTAGTTTCAATGGCTAGTTATTATAACTTTGGAATAATATTCAGAGTTTTTAGGAGGGATCCTGGAGTTACTGCTGGTTTTCTAGGATGCTTTAGCCACCACAGAAACCAGAAAGAAAAGCAGAGTAAATTTGAGCCCCTAAAAGGGGTTGCCACTTGTCTGCCCACCCCAGTCTTGTAGGTCTGCCACACTCTGCCAGGTTCTCTTATGCCTCTATCACGTCAAAGGTGTCTTAGAGAGGAAAGGTTTAGCCTTAGGCACCACCACCTCTCCTCTTCGTAGATGAGGCAGGCCCCCTTAGGCCCAGATTATTTTCCCTCCCAACAGCTTCAGGAAAGATAAATTGTGACTACGCCTAAGTTTTCCCCTCAGGTGACTAGTCACACACATGGAAAATAGGGATAGGATAATTCTAGTCTATTAAGATGTGGATGACTGCCACCAGATAAGTAACTTCCTAGCAGTTCTGCAAGATGTGTAAGATGGATGTTGGCCAGATGCTCTTCTCAATGAGTGTTAAAAACGTGGCAGAACTGCAGGCAGTTAAGGGATGCTTTACTCCTCCTCTGAGTTCAGAAATAAGAAGAAAAGGGGCACATGTCTGTGTGCCCAGAGCAACTGTAAGGCCTTGACAGAAGCAGAAGCACTACCTCCCAAACTGAAGGGAGTCAAGGCCCCAGTGGAAGGGCCTTTTTGTGCAGGAGTTGCATGATTCGGAACTCCCTGCTGCTTGAAATGATGTTTATTTTGATGTTAAATCAGCCAAGGACTGTAGGTTGTCCTTGATCCTGTCTCCCTACTGCAAATAATGTGAGTATTGAAGGGAATTTACTTTCTGATGTTTTCCCCTTATTCCTTACACACTTATATTCTTCTTTGCCAGAAGAAATCTCCTCTCTGCCTCACATATTGTTGGGGTGAGATTCATCTTGTTTAATTTTAAACATTTATATTTGAGCTGCTTGTTTAGATCACCTTACCATCAACGGAGAGAAAAGAAAATTTACAAAACATAAACTGTCTGAGCAATTTTGGACACTGACCTTAGCATGAGGTATGTTGTACCTTAAGATTTTCTGTTTTCTGCATCATATATGCCTAAAATTTACATTAGATGAATCTCACCCTTAGTACTGATTTATTGAGCCTTTCCCAAAAGGCTTCCAGCAAACCAGAGAAGTTTTACCGGAAAAATATTAGAGAAGCGTGGTTATCAGGTTTAAGACAACAGTCTGTTTAAGACAAAGAAGAGAAGGTAGTTAATAATTAAAACGTTCCTTCCGTATGCAGTGTTCCAAAGCAATTGAAATTTCCAGAACTAAATACCCAAATCTCAGTAGGTTTTGCTAGACCAAGACAGAGGGTGTAGCAAAGCCAAGCTCTCTGTGGACTAGATGCATGCAAAATAGTAGTACAGTTTATCTATATAGCTCCAGTGTTTCAAGGGAAGCGTTTGAGCCATTTGCCTAGGAGGACTGCTGAATCTGGTTTTAATAGAGGAAAATCTTTATCCTGATGATACTAGGGGTGCGGTTTTGTGAGCTAGCAAAGCTACAGCATTTCCCCAGGAATGGGGGTATTGCTTAGACCACACCACGCCTAAAATTTTTCCAGTAAGGATCTGCGTAGACCAGAGGGAAGCTTATTTTTTCTGCAGAGAGCAAGAGAGAATGGCTTTAATTTCTCTACAGCAATAGAAAGCAGCAGATATTTCTATGGGGTTCCTTCTGTATTCAAAAGTTGTTGGTTTTTTTTTTTTTAAAAAAATTGTCATTGTGAGGCAATACACATTTTTGTCAAATTGAGTTGCAGTGTGATAACTGGTCTTTGAGCAAAGGCTGGATACATCCGTCCATGTAGGCATTGTTTTCAGCTATATTCACTGCATTGCTTTTCACCAGTGTGGCCCTATTTTACCAAACATTTTGAACTGTGGGGTTTCTTTTATTTGGTTTTAGGCTTTTTACAGGTGGATTTTTTTTTTTCAAATTCATAGCTTGATACTGAGTTTTTCAAACTTTATATTTTGTGAAGCAGAGAAGCTACTTCTCTTTAATTTTATCACAACAAAGCTGCATTTTCAGTATTTTGTAGAGATACTGTTTTACAAGCGTATAATTTGGGAACTCAAATGTACTCAAGTACTGTTTTTTAATCTAGGGTGCCTGGTTTTCTGGGGTGTGTAGAGTATTTAGAGATAATCCGTTGAAGTTACTTTCAGAAAAGGAGATTCATATATGTTCTACTGCATTCTAGCTTTCTAAAGGATTCTGTGGACCCCTTGGTGTTTTTGGGCTTGCAAATTGGAAAAGGTTGGAAAATAATGTCTTAATATTAGAAATTCATCATAGTTCTGCGGAATTATTTGGGTTAGAGCAGACCTAGAACAATACAGTAATTTCAGTAAAGAGAAGTACCAGAACATTCTTGATTCTGATACAATGATGTTTGTATCTTTCTGCATTACTAAATAGCTTTCTTGGTGATACAGCAAATTTGTGAAGTACTCCTGATTTATAAAACAAAATAAAAAAATAAACCCCAGACAATGTGGAAGATCTGTGTAGATCTTGGCTTGCTGAAGCTTCTCAGTTTCTGTAAACCAGATCACTAATGCCACCTTTTATGTTTGAGGCTGTATAAAATAATGGAATAGATCTGATTTTTACCTTCCCCTTGCACAAGTTTTAGAGCAATTTAACTCCTTTCACTTCAAGGAAATTATATTGGATTTAAAGAAATCTCTGATTAGAGCTAGACTTGACCCACCTTTGGGTAATCTAGGACATTATTGCAGTTACTCTTGCATTTACAGAGATCTCATGCACTGGTGGTCTTGCAAACTAAAAATAAAGCACACCAGTGACAGGTATGGTTTTGCTTGTGGGCTCTTCTTGGGCAAAATCTAGTGCCTCAGAAGATCAATTACAAGCTGAGTTTCTTCAAACAGCCGGGTCTGTTCTGAAGGCAGAGAAGTACCTGTGCGCCTGGCTTGGGGGGGGGGGGGGGGGGAATGGGGGGGGGGTGGTGGAAATCGAGGTAATGTTTTTTCCCCTGCTTAGTATGGTCTTAAGTCTAAAACAGGAATGATTGAAAAATGATACTGTGGGCTTCTCTGCTAATAGTCATTGAGCAATGTCAAGGTCTTTTCATTGTACAAGTGAAAATGTTTTTGTAACTGCAAGAATCTAAGTGTCTTCAGATCAAAGTGAGTTTTCTGGTTTGTGCCTCATGGTCAGCGTTAATCCTCTCTCTATTAACAGCTGCACAGTACCATTGTCTTCGAGTGTGACTAAAAACACAATGTAACCCGAGTGGGAATTTGTGTAACTGTTCTAATGATGTGAGAGCTGGATTGGGCTCCAGTTTGCTTTCTCATGGCCTTGAAAGCAGCTTGGAAGTAGTTACTAAGAGTAAAAGAAAGTTGATACTAGTGAATACGTTGTGGGATGGATATCTTGAGAATGTGCTGTTTAATATAGCCAGTTTTTGAAGTGTAAAGAAGCTGTTAATTTAAATAACTTCCAGTCTATAAAATGACATTCCAGCCCATAAAAAGGTAAGGCTTTTTGCCAGGGCTAACAATGCTTAGTTCCTTAGTTTGCAGAATAAATGTGGCAAGCCTTTTAATGCTGACTTTTTTTTTCCTGGCTTAGGACTAAATATTTAATCAGTCAGTTATAGATTACTTGTTGATTTCAAATCATTTTAATTTATCTAGTGTTTTTCCCCCCCTAGGGATTCTACAAATGAAACTACTGCACATTCAGATGCTGGCAGTGAGCTTGAAGAAGCAGAAGTCAAAGGAAAAAGAAAAAGGGGCCGTCCTGGCAGGCCTCCAGTATGTGTAATTTAGTTTTGTTTTGTTATGCATCTATTTAAAATTGACTGCAAACTGTTTTTCATCTAATCATCTTGTGGTCACATAAATAGGCTTTTAATGAGCCGTATGTCAAACTTTATGAAGACTTGTAGTATGAAATATTTATCAGATTGATATACAAACAATGTTTGGACTGTTTAAAAAGGGACATAAAAATGAGCTCATATTAGCTATTACTTTTTCTTTCGCTAGCTACTTAAATGAACATTACAATTTTGTTATTATTGTCATATTACAACATTCTTCCAGACATGAGAATAATCCCAGTAAGCACGACTACTTTCTGTTTTGAAAGTTGTAATGGATTTTAAGTGACAAATGACATTTGAGCCATCCTTTTAGTACCTGAGAATCTCTTAATGTGAATGGAAGAGTTGCAGCATAGTATTAACTAAATGCCTCGGAAGATCTATTAACACATCTTAAAAATTCATGTAATTGACATATACTGTGTTCCACATATAGATTAGGAACTTCAACCTATTCTCTAGCATAGTGCACAGACGATATTGCTGTCTGCTGTGTAAGATTTGCTGTTCTTCAGTAGTCTTTGCCCATTGCTGGCCCATGAATGAGAACATACAGAAACAACTCTCTATTACACATAGTATTTAAGGAGGCTTTCTCTTTTATTTTCATTTATTTTATAAAATAGCCAATTTATTGGAAAATACAGTAAAAGTTCTGTGTGTCATGTTGTCCTTCATTTTAGTTCTTCACGGTCATCAGATATAGTTCTCTTGATTATATCACTTGCAGTACAACTGTGGAATAAGATTTTTGGTGGGAACTTATTTGTGTTTGTTATTAATGGTTTTGATTCTCCTCTTAGTGTTTGTCTACGAGTACACCCCCAGTATGAATGTGCTATATATAGCACTAGTAGATTGAGATTTTTTTTTTTTTACTTGAAGACCTTCCACCCTAAGTCTAACTCCTTAAGCATGGGCTGGTGAGGCTGTAAGAATGGACAGAACCACGTGTTCTTCTCAAGCATGCTGGCCAAGCTGGAGCAAACTCCTCCTTGGTATTGGTTTTCAATTTGCGTCACAGTTTCTGGACTTGCTTTGGGAGCCAACATTTTAAATCCTGGGTTTTTCTGGGCACGTTGTCTTCCTTTTTGAAAGCTTTTGAACAGTGTTTCCTATGATGGCATATATTCTTCATCAGATGGATGGATTTGCTCAGAAACGTGGAACTTCTTTACAGAAAGCTTTAAAGAAGCATGTAAAGAGAACAGGTCATCTGTTTATATAGCTTGTAGGCAAAGGGCAAAATCAGAAATTATCTTAAGAATATCTCATTAGTAAATTGATGAGTTTTTGCAGATCTAATAAAAAACCACAGAAGATGGTGCAACCTGATTGCTAATCCAGAAGGTTGTCAGAGTGTAGGAATTAAAGTTAAAGCAACACTAGTGGTGTTTCGTACCCACCACACATGCACTGGAAGGGAAAGGTGAATGTTACAAAAGGTGTTTCTCATCCCTCTGAGCTTATTAGTAGCTCCCATGGGAATAGTTGCTGAAGCACTCTACTGGTCCTGCTATCAAGTGTCTACAGGAGCAATTGCTCATTATGCTTAGAACAACTCCAGACTCATTAAGTGTACATGATTGTAAAGTGATGAACATGCAGAGGAAGTGGCCATTGCTTCATACATAAAATGATGGGCTGTGAGCTGACTGTTGCTGCTAAGGAGCAAGACCTTAGGGTTACCAGAGATGGTTCCATGAAAGCATCATTGTTATGCTCAATAGGGGTCAAAAAAACCAAATCCAGTCTTAAAACTCTGAGGAAGAGAATAGAGGATAAAACAAATACCGTGTCCTTTATAAAACTGTGGTTTGCCAAAATTTGGAATACTTTGCACAATTCTAGTTTCTCTTCCCCTCTTGACCTCTGCCCCAAAATCTCAAGAAAGAGTATATTGGGACTGGAAGAGATTTCAGAGAAGAGAAGCAATGATGGTCAATCATGGAATCAGGCTGGGAGGGACCTCAGGAGGTCTCATTGCAACCTCCTGCTCAGAGCAGGGTCAGCTTTGGGATCAGACCACATTGCTCGGGGCTTTTCCAGTCAGGTCTTGAAAAACACCAAGGCTGGAGACTGCACAGCCTCTCTCAGCAACCTGTTTCATTTTATTTTGTGAAAAATTTCTCTCTTGTAGGCAATCAGAACCTCTCTTCCTTCAGTTCATGACTGCTGTCAGTTGTCCTCCCACTGTATGGTGTTGTAAAAAGCCTCACAGGGGACTGGTCCTGGCCCCCTGACCACCCTCTGCTGGACTTCTTCTAGTTTATCAATACCTCTCTTGCACTGAGAGGGCCAGAACTGGACACGGTATTCCAGATATGGGCTAAGAAGCGCAGGGTTAAAGGGTATGATCACTTTCCTTGGTCTGCTGTTATATTCCTGGGTGCTGATGGCCTTTGCTGCTCAGGCACATGGCTGTCTCATGTCCAGTTTGCTGTCTCCTAAGACCCCAAGGTCCTTTTCCACAGAGCTGTTCCCTGTCTAGCTGGTCTCCAGCCTGTGTTGGTGCAGGGATTTACTCCTCTGCCAGGGGCAGGTCTTTGCATTTGTCCCTGTTGAATTTTGAGTGTACTGTTAGCTTAGTCCTCTAGACTGTCAATAGCAGTCTTGCCCTTGATGTCACTAAGCGGTCTCCCTGCCAATTTGGTGTCATCTGCACACTTGACAGGAGCACACTCTCTCACCCCCTCCAGCAATCTGATAAAGATGGGGAACTGGACATGTTCCCGTTAGGCTCCTGTCGTACTCCCTCATCGCTAGCCCCCAGGTAGAGGATGATCCATTAACCACTGAGCCCGGCAGTTCAGCCACTTGTCCACCCATCTAGTTGCCTACCTGTCCAGATCACAACTTCCCAATTTGGGTACGAGAGTATTGTGGAAGACTGTTGAAAACCGTGCTAAAGTCAAGATAAATGGCCTCTATTGCTCTCCCCTCATCCACAAATTCAGTCATTTTCTTACAGTTTTTTGGGTGACTTGACAAAATATATGTTTGGATACATCATCAGATCCTGCTTTCATAATTGATACTGCAGCAACAGAAAGGAATAAATAAGGTTCTTCTACAAAAAAAGACCAAAATGGAAAAAGCCACTCAATGTCTAATATGCTTGAGGAGAAATGCAGACACCTTCGAAATTCTAATCTAGGCAATTAAATTTATAACCTTATTTGATATTAAAAGTCATGGACTTCGTAATTGAGGTATTGACTTTGCAAACACAGTATTTCACTTTCCCTCCTCCACATGGCTCACCTATCCATGTTGCTAACTCATCCACTTCCCTCAGGGGAATTATCTGTTTCTTACAGGAGGTGCAGCTCTGACATTTTTTCCCCCACTCTTCCATCTGCTAACGTGGTTTTTATTTCCTCCACAGGTACCACCTACCTTTACTCTCAGATGTGAAACAGATTAAAATATTTAGTGAAATTCAGAGCTGTTTTTCATACTTAGCTTTGATGTTTTTCATTTCTGAAGAAAATGAAAGCCTAAAGAAAGGCTTTTCTGCCCAAAGGCTCTTCTGTTTTTTGTGGTGTGGGTTTTTTTCCCCTAACTAAAATATTATGGTCTAATAAGATTTGATTTCTCCCTGCAAATGCTGATTTGCTTATGTCCTTAGGCCATCACAGCTACAGTGACACATCTGCCATAAACATATTGACCTCTTTTGGAAAGAGAGTTTACTCCTTGCTGTTTTGTCTAGCTGCATGGTTCTATTACAGAGCTGCACACAATGTACTCCATCAAATATATGTATGTATTTATTTTAAATAGGTTTCTGCTGTAGTGTTGTAGAATGGACTTGACCTTTTATCAGAAAGATAAACTAGAGGATTTTCCAGACTTTTTTCCAAAGAAAGACATTCCTCTGAAGATTTGAGACTTTTGTAAGGAGATGGTCCTCATTTGAAAATTTGCCATTTGTACCAAATACCACTTCAGTTCATAGAGAACCTTAATATTTTGGGGAACCTTCCCTTCCTGAAAACGCTGCTTTCCAAGTTGCCCCTCCACTTCTATAAGAGACTATTCTAATGAGTACTTGACTGAGTAGACTAGACAGTCAGCTTGCAAAGAGATTAAGTGCATTGGTCCTTCAAATTAGATTCTCAGAATCTAACCTGATTGTCCTGAACTCACCGACCCTTGCTGCGAATTTAGCAGGAGTTGCACCATGTCCTGTTCTAGCATTGACAATGGCTGGGGCTGGCCTCCCCCTGGCCCATGTCCGCTTCTAAACACTGAGTCTTGTAGACCAGATGCCTGTGGAACGACTGGCCAAGAGGTGAATCTGTCCAGCCAGTGGGATATTTTGGCGCATGTATTTATGCGATACTGTATGTGAGCATACCATCTGGATATATATTTTGTGAATTGTGTGGGGTGTATTTAAGGAGTGACCTATAACAGTCCTCTGGTTGAAGTTGCTGAGTAACATTGGCCAAAAATGTCTTTTCTGTCTGCTGCATTATTGAAATACATGGGTATGGATGCGCTCTCCTGTTCCAGGTAGGGGATTTGAAAGCCCAAGGGCTTACGATACAAGTGGCTTTCACATTAGTGAGCTCGGACTCAGATCAGTTATTTATCTATCCTTTTTTGTCTCCTCTCTTGGATCAACGCACACTGTTCAATGTTGTTGGCGTGCTTTATTTTAACCTACCTAGCTTTACCTTCCCAGGAGCTCAGAATAGCCTGGCTTAAACCTCAGCTGTTAGAGGTTGAGGGAGTGAGAGAGATCCCTGGCTATATTTCAGCTTTGAGGTAGGAGTAGACAGATGAATCTCTTTGACTCAGAGGACAGTCTTTCTGTTCCAGAGGTGGCAATTCTGAGATCTCTGCTGGGATGTCTCTCATCCCATACTCAGGGCCACAGCATGCCTTTCGCCAGCTCCTCAGATTCTTCTATTAAGGCGA